CAAGGAGACTTGTTCGGTCAGTTACAGCGACTCTATACGGATTATAAAGAAATCGTCATCTGACTTTGTGATCATTGTTGTATATGTAGATGACCTGAACATTATTGGAACTTAAAAGGAAGTTGATGATGCTTGAACTCATATGAAAAAAGAGTTCGAAAGGAAATATCTGAAAGACAAAGTTTTGTCTTGGATTCCAGATAGAACATTTCTGAAAAAAAAATATTTATACATCAATCAAAAGTTTATTGAATCGCTTTTATATGGAGATTCCTTTGAATATTCTAATGGTAAATAGATCTCTCGATGTTAAAAGCGGTGTTGTTTTAAAAGATCCTGGTAACTTTATACAAATAAGTAATTTGGAAATGCTAATGGTAATAAAGCATATCTCATTTCCTATTCATGGAAATTAGAATGGCTTCAAGAACCTATCCGTTCTCTCCAAAATATGTATTAGTTTAAGATTGATTTATCCTAGAAACTCCGAATAATTGGTATAGTTTTGCAGATACATGTTATTTATAATGTTGAATGGAAATGAAATGTGATTTTATAATTGGTGAAACCACAACTACATGATGTTCTATGAAACAAAGATTGGTTTCGACTTCTTCGAAGCATGCCGAAAACGTGTCTGGTTTAAGTCAACGAGTCAACACATACAAGGAGCAAATGGAACAATAATCAAAAACAAACCGACGAAAATTATTAAAGATAATTTGGTCTTCAACTCAAAGAAAGTTATATCAAGAGTGAAGTACATCTCTCTAAGATTTTTCTCATACATACGAGAGTTAAAAAAAATCAAGAAGTAGATATAGAGTATGTACAGTCATGCGACATTCTGACAAATTTGTTTACAAACGCTCTTTCTACTACAATGTTCTGAAACACATTTATGATATCAAAATGCAATATTTATGTTATTTATAAAAAAAAATTATGTCCATTATTTTCAGAAAAAGACTACGTCAATGTATTTTTTTTCTTTTTATCATGATTTTTATAACGAATTTTTTCATAATTTGATTTTTAACTTGGTTTTTAATGAGATAATACATAATATAAAATAATTAATCAAAAGGAGGTGTTATAAAAATTGATTAGTCATTTATAGGACACATGTCCTAGCAATGGTCATCCTCATCATTTACACTTGTCTTTGCCTTGATGAAGGTTCCAACACATCAGCAATCACACGTCTCTTTCTCCTTTGATATAAGAGAAAGATGTGTGTGTGATTTATTTCACTATAAATAGCTTGGTTGTTGGTCGTGTAATGGGGTAAGACAAGACAAATACAAAAAGCTTTATTATTATCTCTTTCACTCATCAGTTTACAACGAAAGAATATATATATATATATTCTCATCTGTAATTTACAACAAATTTAAAAAAAAATTCAAGTATCTATTTGTGTTTTCGGGTATTTTTTTATATTTCACTATTTTTAAGTTTTCAGGTACTTCAAGTCTTTCTTGAGTTCTAAAAATCTCAAACTAATTTGAATTCATTACATACCTCAAATTTATAGTTTTTTATAGGTATTTGAATTATAGATGCGAATCATAAAAAATCGACATAAAAAAATCGACACAAATCCAAACCAAACAAATTTAAATATCTAGTTACTGTAAGTCCAAATGTTTTTAATCCGAAAATCTAGGTTGACATGAACTGTTCTGTATCCAACTAGAAGACCCGATGCCTTGACTTACTCTCGCTCATTATATTTTGTGTACATTTAATAAGAGTTACGTTTATTAAGCACATGAGATTTAAGATTTACTTTGTAGATTTTGGTTGATCTAATAGTATAGATTTGTAAAATGTATAAATGGTTTTAAACTTATACTCCCTCCGTTTCACTTTAGTTGTCATTCTAAGTTTTTATACATAAATTAAGGAAATATTTAATTTTACATATTTTCAAGATAAAAACACAATTATCTATACAGCTAACCACTTTTTAACCAATAAAAAATAGAAGATTATATAAAACTAATAAATTTTACCCAAACTCTAAAACGACACTTAATTTGTGACAAAAAAATAAGTCTACAATGACATATATTCTGAAAAGAAGGGAATATTAAATAAAATATTTTATTTTAAACACTTTTATAAAAAAAAAACAATTTAACTTAAAATATAGAATTTTGTTTTTACATATGTTTTGTAAAGTGTTCGTATTAAATTTGCTTTTGTAAATAACTGGACCTATAGGTTATAGTTGTTGCCTTTAAAAATAAGGTGACTTAAGCGAATGATTTAGTTTTGATATAATGTTCTCGTAAACAAAATTATTTTGTATAATAAATAAAAGTATTAACAAAGGTACTGTTAGGAAAATATAAGGTAAATTATATGGTTTTATGTTTTTGGTTACTGATATATAATAAATAATAGGATTGACTAAACCATAAAATTTAGGAGAAATTGTTTTTTTAGGCTAAAAAAACACTAACATTGTCGTAATAGGATAAATTTACCTTATAACTGTCTCATTAGACTAATATTTTCCTTAAATACAATTTTTCCTTCTAAAATACAATTATAAACTAATTATAATATATTAAAATATCATACTTTAATGAGAAAATTGGCTAATCAGGCCAATTTGGGGATGGGTTTGTCACCTTATACCTTTCCCCATTTTACTTTTGTCTAAATATACATTTACCCAATTAAATACAAAATTAACCCTATATTTATTAAATTTTGTTTTTTAAAAAACCTTAAGTCATCTCCTCGTTCTCCGACAAACGAAGGAGAGAAACCAAGCCTCTCTCTCTCTCTCTCTCCGACCTCTCTCCGGCCTCTATCCGGCCTCTCTCCGGCGAAGTCCGGCCTCTCTCCCACGAAGTTCTATCTCCGACCCGTGTCTCCTCTCTCCGACGAAGCACCGTCTCGGACCCGTCTCCTCTCCCCGACGAATCCTCTCTCCGACAAATCCTCTTTCTGATTTCAGATTTCAACTTGAGTAAGTGTTTGCTTCAAGTGTTCTTCTTCTCCTACGTTTTGGGATTTAACATGCATTGAATAATTTTTTGATTATGAGGAATGTGATTCAAAGTCATATTGAATTCATTAGGAACTCAAAAGTCGCAACTTTTTGTTATCAAGCCTATAACTTGCTTTCTTTGTTTCATAGGTCAATAAAAGAAAGAAGATTGGACACTCTAGGGAATTCGGTTCACTCAAATTATCAAACACAGTTTTGTCTTCCTCTTGGTTAAGGTATATATGAATGTTATTGTTTTACTTGAACTCGTTTTGGTTGTTTATTGTACTTGAGCTTGTCTTGGTTGGTTATTGTTTTTACTTGAGCTCGACTTTGATTCTTTAAGTTGTAAAGTATTGATCTATTTTTCTTATTTTTTGTTTGCTTGCAGGTTATGATTATGAGCTTCCAAAACAATTGAAAACAGCTTCCATAAATTACTCATCAAAGAACTTGGAAAATAACTCAACTCAGCGCTAACAATCTTCTAGTCCATTCCAAAATCCTCCAAAACCATCATCTTCAATTGCTCTACTGTAGTACTTGCTTCCAACGAGAGTAATCTGCCTTTTTTTTCCTTATCAACAATGAACTTCCACTCATTATTCACATCCCGTCTCCAAACACCACATGAAGCATAGATGAGAACCATTTGATTTGATAAAAAAGAAATAGAGAAGAAGAAGAAAGGAAAAAGATCGTTGAATCAAACAAGGGATGAATTCAACGCAATTTCCCTGTAAATTTTCGACCAAAGATAAACTTGAATAAAGGGTAGTTACTGATTTTTTCTAAATTTTCGCATAAAATAACTGAAAATATAGAATACATATTCTAAACGGGATAGAACACTGATAGAAGGTTATACTATTAATTCTAACTACTTAGAACATATGATAAAGTAAGAACACGACGTTCTATCCACGATATATTATAGAATAGATGATAGAACATATATTCTATAGTTGAAATAATAAAGAGTCTTGGTTAGAACGTAAACATACATATTCTATAATAGTTAGATCATAGACAAAGGGTTACAACATATATTGTATGTTTAAAAAAATAAAGTGTCATGGTTACAACATATATTGTATGTTTGAAATAATAAAGTGTCTTGGTTAGAACGTGGACCTACGTCTTCTATATTAGCTATATCATAGACATATGGTTACAATATAAATACTAAATTTAATAAAACGTTGAAGACAAGTTAGAATGTGTATTTTAGCTTCGTAAAAACAGTTATAATATACATTCTTACAAATCTAGATCAACACATCCAAAGTGTATTTGAAGTTTATTTTTTTTTTTAGCAAAACCTATAAAATATTCTTATGATTATAATGATTTTTTCATATTTTTTGAGCTTTGTATCATTTTTAATAATTATTTCTATTATTATGAGGGTATTTATGTCAAAAACTGACTAATTATTGTGAAGGTATAAAGGGACAAAAACATTTCTATTATGGCCTATTTTTTCAATTTCCCCTACTTTAATTAAACTAATTTAAATAAACCCATAAGAAATTCCTAAAATCAATTTTTCTCAACCCTAATCTTATTATCTCCGCTTCTCTTTCTCGGTGGCACAAAGAGAACCTCTCTTTCAGGCGTATAAAAAATGCTCTCCAGCATTAATCCTTACTACGAGAAACCCTTCGGAAGACATAGATCATCACGGCTCTTATCTTCAAGATATTCAAGAGAAAAGTTTGACAGCCGTTTGGGATGTCTTGTGGACAAGAAGCTGAGCTAGGAGGTGGAAAAATCATTGGCTTCCATGGAAGTTCAAGCGATGTGTATATAAAACACTGCTATAGTTTTTAATCCGTCCTTTTGAAGATTTTTGTTCTCTCACTCCCCACCGTCTCTCTCTCTCTCTCTCTCTCTCTCTCTCTCGATCTCAGGTGATCCTCTTGCTCCAATCTCTCTCTTCTCGTATACGTGATTATGTGAATTAGCCTCATACTCTGCTTATCTCACAGCTATGGCGGCCGCCGTGGAAATCAATGCTGAGATTCAGCAGCAGCTTACAATGAGGTTAAGCTCTTCAACCGCTGGACCTACGACGACGTTTCGGTAACTTCCGATTCACTCTTTTCTCGCCTCTTTTAGATTTAGTCATTTCTTTTTTCGTTTTGATGTATCAGACTTGGTTGGAATCTGGCCTTTGTAGTATAATGCAACTCTCTCTTTAGGTTTGTACGATATCACAATCACATTAGCTTCAGTGTGTAAGTTAGGATCATATCATACTAATCACATTAGCATGACCAGACGCAGCAGCAACCACAATACTATATCCATGCGTCTTGTTTTGGTATAGCCTTATGCTCCTGCTTTGATAGCAACACTGTTTTTTTTTTTGGCTACTGAGATTCTTCTCATTGAACTCAGTAACTTAGTTTGAGAATATTTATATTCAGTGAATGTTCATTGTGTGTCATTAAGTCTGAAGTATTGTAAGATAACATTTTTTTGTAAATTTTAATATGTTGTATGTCACAGATATCAGGCTATCTCTTGCTTACAGCAGGCGCTCGTGAGTCTGCTTTCAGAAATATTAAGACTAGCCCTGTTCTTTTGGTAAACGCTGCGTCTAGCGTCAGAGTCTCTTTTTAGCTCTCTATTTCTGATGCTGTACGAACAAGAGATCGGAATATAATGACACGCTGAGTTAATAACAATAGACGCAGCGGCAGTTTCCGAACGATAACTGATCGCTTAAAATTTCAGCGTCAGTCGCGCGCCAGTTGCGTCTCATTCCGGTGATTTTTTTCACTGCTATGGCAACGCTTTTTAAGCTAACAACATCCTCCGCGTCGTTTAATTTGCTGTAGTCGCAGCGTCTATTCTCCGAACAGGGCTACTATTGTTGAGTGCTTTGCTGATGAATTGATCAACGCAGCCAAGCGCTCGTCCAACAGGTAAACGCACTCTACACATCTCTTTAAAATAGTTTCTTATGTGTGTTATCAGTGAAGCTCTAATACTCTTATTAAAACTCTTGCAGCTATGCCATCAAAAAAGAAGAATCGGATTGAGAGAGTTGCCAAGCCAATCGTTAAGGAGTTTTCTTTTGCCCTGAGTTATATTTTTATCCAATCATTTTTGTTTTCAATGTTTCAGATGTTTTGTTATTTGCAAGTTTACTTCTGCGCTCTGAACTACTTTGAATATACATTTTGGTTTCCATATGATTACAAAGAAGAGCAAGATGCTATGATAATATAATTATAAAATAATTATAATATATTGGAATATTCAAATAAACTAATTAAAATTAAGATCAACCCCTTTTTTTATTCATGAGATGTAAGCATAGATATCACATTTCTTAGCTTGGAATGCAAGATTATATCATAGATCTGTTGTATATATATTACACCTCACAATATTGGCAAGAGAAAGCAGTGAAATCGGGAAAAAAAATGAAACAGTGGCTATTACTAAAACGAGAGAAAGGTTTGAGGTTAATGATGGGAGTATTTTGTCATTTAACATTTTTATCCTAAAAATGAGAAAAGTAATAATTAAGAGCAACTACTTCCTTTGAACCCTTGACCTTTAGTATTTTAAGGGCATTATAGACCACCAGACCACACGTCTTTGATGAGAAACCAAAACATAGTTAATATATAATCGATTACGTTTGGTTAACAAATTCGACTTCTTCAAATATGGAAACAAAATATTTGCAAATATTTTCATAACTGCACTTTCCATAACTTTCTCACTTGTTCATTCTTATCTGTTCATTCTTATCTGTAGAATACATTCTACTATATGTAGAATACAATAAAAAAAATTTGAACTCACTTTCTACTAATTTTAGATTTCTAGTAATTTGTAGATTATGAGTTCTACACGTTTTAGAGCGATAGTTTAAGCGTAGAATCTATATTCTAAATATTTTTAGATTACTATTATATATATAAAAGATGTATTCTAATACTAGTAGATTGAATGAAAAACGTAGATTTCATTTTCCACGCTAATTCTACTGTTCTTAGAACAAAATTTAAAATTTTGATTTAAACATTTTTAGAATTAGAAAAAATATCTCTACTTTGATATAGGTATTTCATCACTGATTCCTATTTTCCAATTTTTTTTTGTTTTTAAAACTATTTTTTTGATTTATTTTTATAAATAAAAAGGGTATTATAGGTAAAAATGGTACAAAGTTAGGATTAGTCTAATGGGACAATGTACCTATTTTTTTAAAAAAAAAATTTCCCAAAACTTTAACATGCAAATCCTGTTACTTTTAAGGTAAACCAAAAAAATAGTTACTTTTAAGGTAAACCAAAAAAATAGTTAAGCCTAATGAATTGATGTAATAATCTTGTTTAAATAGAATTTCAGAATGATTATTTTTTAGTAGTATAGATTTAGGCTGTAACTGGTTATTCCTCAAAGGGATACACTAAATAAAAGGAATGATTATTTGTGGAATAGATAAAAATGGAATGATAAACAAAATGGAATAATAATTGATATTATTGTGGAATGGACATTCCATTCATTCACGATCATTTGTATTGCGGAACAGAAGGTATATATTTTTCAAATGATTTTTTTTTAACTTCCATTCCAAAAAATGAATATGTGGAATTGATTTCAAAAAGCGCTCGTTGTAACTGGTAAATATTTTTTGAAATTCAATGGAATGATGCATTCCAAACAAATCTATTCTAAAAATCATCATTCCAGTTGCAGCCTTAGAGTAGAATATTAGAAAGATTTTATTAGATATTTTAGTTAGATGAATAAGGAATATTATTCGAATATATATGCAATACTGATTTATTATAATTTTGAGACTTTGAGACTTAATGTTTATTAGGTTAGCAAAATTTATGTTAGTAGATATAAGGAAATAATAACTAACTGTTGTTTAACAATAAAATTTTAGATCATGTAATTTAAAGTTTGAGATTTTGGTATTTGAAAATTGTAGATACAATATATTGTTAACAAAAATATTCTAACAATATTTCAAAATAACATATTCACAATAAATTTGATTTTCATTGAAATTGTTAGTAACGATTTCAGAAATATAGTTAGTGAGTTTAAAATTTGAAATCTAAAATGAAACTTTTAAAACAGTATAGATAAAATGATATTATTTTAGCAATATGTATTCAATATAATAATATGTATCATATGTGATGTAACAATTTAAAGGTTTTGAGGTTCGGTTATGATTGGATAAAAAATTATAGTGGTCTAGTTATATAACACTGTCTTGTTTTTTATGTGAATAAGTAAAATTTAAATAAAAGTATTGACATCTTGTATTTTTGTTTTAGGAAGAGAAGACATGTAATCAAAAAAAACTATAATGTAACAATGAGAGAATGAAAGAGCTTTTTCATAATTTAAGACAGAAGTGTAGAAAGAATGTATATTTTATTGTTACATAGTTCATGGTAGGTTTGGGCGTTCGGATCAGGTTTGGATCGGTTCTATTTAGGTCCGAGTTTTTCGGAAAGAGTTTTAGACCCAACAGATATTTGTAAATTTTCGGTTTGGATTCGGCTCAGTTCTTTTCGACGTTGGTTTGGATCTATAATTAAAATATCTATAAATTATATGTAATATTCGGGTGCGTTTTGGGTCTTGGTCGGATTCGGATATCTAGGATATGAAAAAGACATGAAATACCTAAATCCCATCAAAGTTTAGTTAAATTCTGTCATATATATATATATATATACAAAATAACTTGAAATAAGTTATTAATAACTAAAATTAAACATTTATAAACTTAAATTTTACATTTAAAAATTCATATTACTTGAAAATGTTATAAAAATAATAACAAAGATTGTTAACAAAAAGATATTTCAACTAAATCATAGAATAAAATATAGAAAATAGATCACACAAAATTATTTTTTTTGGATATTTATGTTATTTAATTGGGTATGAATCGGTTCTTATCGGATCGGTCTATTTGGGTCGGTTCTTTTTGGGTTCGAGTCTATTCGACTTGGTTCTTTTCAATTTTGGTTCTTTTCAATTTTGGTTCTTTTTTGTAAAATAATTTTTGACCCAATAAATATTGGTAAATTTTCAATTCGCTTTTGGGTCAAATATTTTCAGGGCGATTTTAGTTCGGGTTTTCGGGTCTGGGGTAAATACCCAGGCCTAGTTGCTGGAAATAATTATTATTATTGTTTTTTTTATATTGAGTTCATTGAGTCTTGCATTTTTTTGACAACGAAATGCTATTCTATTACTCAAACTTGAGGTGGTCTGGGTAACCAACCCGGAATTGAACAACGAATAAAACATAACTCCATATGGAAAAAATTAGCAGGCTAATAATTATAAAACTGATTATGTGCTCGTGGAACATGAGTGGTCTTGAAATCTGGGAAGCATATCTTCATAGTCTCTATCCTCTCTAATTGCGTTGTAAATCTTGGCCAGGCATGAGGTTCCTTAATCATGGTGATCAGGTCCTTACAATTTGTCTCAAAACTTTGGCATGTCGATTGTTGAAGCATATTCTCCATCACCCATCGTAGTGTTTCTACTTCTGAATGCAAGGCTGATTCCCGTCTAATAGAATATTGTGTCCCCATTAGTTGAACCTTCCCAGAACTGTCCATCCAAACCCATCCACTCCCACTGAACCTTACTGTTGATGTCCATGATCCATCTATCGTACATATATTCTCCCAGCTTATGACTTGGGATTCCTCAGCACAGTTATCTTGTATCATTGGTGGCACCATCTCATTCGCATTAAACAGAGCTTGGAATTCACTCTATGCATAACGAAATAGCTTCAGTGGACCCCTATTTATCCCTCTGAAAAGATTATCATTATGTGCCTTCCATATGTACCAGATTATTCAGAGATAAGGATCCATGTCTAGTTCTGGTTTATCAATGATATTCTTTTTCCAGAAAAGATAGTCCATGTTCGTGTAAATATTCGCAGCTGGGAAAATATCCAGGTTTGTAGGGGCCGCTGAGAGAGACCACACTTGTAAAGCCGGGGGGCAAACAAATATGGCATGATTTTCAGATTCTTCTGCTTCTCCACATCTGGGGCAATAATTATCACACCTCATATTACGGCGCACTAAGTTCCTTGTTACAGCCATATGACTTGTTATCAATTGCCATATAGGATGACATATCTTCTTTGGCGTTTCAACCTTCCAAGCAAAGGCTTGAAGCTCTGTGATAGTTGGCTCGAGCACCTCCTTCTTATCGGCGGTCTTTAATAGGTTATGTGCAACCCAATAACCGGACTTAACTGTGTACTGTCTATTTCTGGTATAATTCCACCAGTATATATCATGCCGATGAGCAGATCTTATTGTCATACTCCTTATGAATGCTATATCAACAGGGTTGACATAATTCTCTGTTAGACCTACGTCCCACTCCTTCGATATAGGATTAATAAGATCGATGACTCTTATGTTTGAATGTAGTACAAGAGCTAGGGGATAGCCTGTCTAGCAGGTGTTGTCAGGATCCATGGACCTCCCACACCTTGAGTTCATATCCAGAATGTACTTTTTTGTTCTATTACCAATAGAAGAGCTTTCTTGATGCTGAGATGCTAGTCCAGACATAAGATGGGTTACTTACCGAGAATACTCTTAAAGGTATACTTAGTCTACAGTACCTTCCCTTCATGACTCTATCCATTAACGAATCAGGATTTTGAACTAGCCGTCATAATTTTTTTGCTAATAATGCCAGGTTAAACTCATGAATCATACGGAAACGAATCCCACCTTCTTCTTTTGGTAAACATACTCTCCCCATTTCGCCCAATGAATTCATCTTTTGGGGGTTTGAACTCCACCAGAATTGTGCAATGGCACTTGCAAGGTTCTCACATATCTCCAATGGGAGTATGAATCTAGACATCACATATGTAGGGAGTGCTACCAAGATGGATTTAATCAACACTTCTTTTCCTCCTTTTGAAAAACATCTACATGTCCATCTATTTACTCTGTGCATTAACTTTTCCTTAAGAAAAGCAAAAAGCTTGAATTTGGATCCGCTAATATCTTCTAGGATGCCCAAGTATGTTCTCATTCCTCCTTCAAAGTTGATACATTGGCCAGATGTGTTACCATATTTCCTAACTACTTGCATTACTTCTTCACACTCACACTCACGGGGGTCCGTCATACAGAAGAAAATGCTATCATCAGCAAAGAGAATGTGAGAT